ATTCAACCCCAGTTAAGAGATCTCTGCTAATTGACCTACAAAAAGTTCTCACTATTCTTATAATTACAAACTTTAACAGGTTATTACATTCCAGATCCTTTGGCTAATGTCTCAGTAGCTATTCAAGATATTAGATATATAACCAATGGTGAGACATGATGTCCTCTGGACACTATCTTTATCGTCTTTATGGGAATCACTCATGTCTCTTTGATGGAAAATCTTTTACTATATTCATAATTATCCTGTTGATGTTATTTTTTGGTCCACACATATTTGTTTCTTTGGGTTTTTCTCTTCCAGATTTAAAGTTATTCACTACCTATGATACTGCCTACTGTCTAATATTGGTGCTTTATATAGCAAAAAGACATATATTTTTACAGGACAGACACTAGCCACCCTAAGTGTGAATTCCAGCAATCTGACATGCTGTCTTGGCTTAACCATTTAACCTTTCAGTTCATTTTCCTCATCTACAAAATGGAGACAATTGCTACCTCTTAATATTTGTGGTGAAAACAGAAAATATATGCAACCCATTTAGAACAACATTTAGCATGTAAGAGGCTCACAAAATGTTAATCATTATCCTTTCCCAGGTCAGAAGCCCTAGGCATCTTACTCCTCCACAGTAATGCCTTGTACCTAAAGTTATAGATCTTTAATAAATGTGTCCTTTGAAGTCCTGTGAATTTAGAGGTGGAGAAGGAACACTCACTACATTCTGGGCTTTTAATATATAAGTTCTGAATCATTCCACTTAATAAGTACACAGTTCAAGTCCTAGTGATATAGGGGAAATAATATTGATAAAGGGGAATGAAACTCCCAACCTGTGAGGTTATCTGGGATGAGTTTCTGTTCTCTAAAACCAAACAAGTTTTATTTTATTTATTTATTTATTTATTTATTTAGTTTTTAGCAGAACCGGGGATTGAACTCAGGCCCTTCAGCTTGCCAGGGAAGCACTTACTCTATGGAGCCATCTCCCCGGCCCCCAAAGAAGGAATTTTAGAAACAGATGGAGGTTAAGAGCATTTTTTTTTTTTTTTTTTTTTCTTTTGGTGCTGCCAGGGATTGATCTCAGAACCTTGTGCCTGCCAGGCAGGCGCTTATTGTACTGAGCTATCTCCCCAGCCCAAAAGCATATTTATTGGGGAAAGAAAATTTCTGTCTGAGAAGGATAGAAGGGGGGCCGGAGTGGGTTGTCCCCGAGAAGCTGTCCCTTTCAGAGACTTTTTTTTTAAGAGTAAAACCACGTGCTGAGGTGGGTCTAAAGTAGGTAACATGGAAACTCTATTAGGTGGGCATGAAGTGAGACAAAACTATGGTTGACCAATGAGATTACAAACACTAGGAGTGAGGGAGATAGCTCAGTAGAATAAGCACTTGCCTGGCAAGTGCAAGGGCCTGAGCTCAATCCCCGGTACAAAAAAAACCCAACAAACAAGCACCATTTGCTCAGGTAAAATTGATTAAATCAAGGACCAAATGGGGAAGTGAGTCACATAGCAAGTGGGCATAAATGTAGAACAGGAGTTTATCCAGTAGCTAGCTGGTAGCAGTTGGATTAGTGACTCTTCCTGGTTTCCTCAAGGTGATGATCAATCCCAGAGGCTTATCTTTAGGGAGGTGAGCATTTGTTTGATGTTTGGTCTTTAGGTCTAGCCCACAGCAGGAGCATCTGTCTCCCTCACAGTTGCAATGTACCTTGTCCTCCATGCTGTCTCCTTGAGGGCCTAGCCCTGGCTGCCTAAATATTTGTAATTTAGCTGCCTACAACAATGTAACTCTCAATCTGCTAGATGTCAGATACACCAAGTGTGTGTTCCCCAAAATCAAAGAATGAATTTCAACTATTTTTAATTTTTTTTAAATGTATTTAGCACAGGGTCTATAGCATCACTACTAGATTGGGCTCCAGTGATCTTCCTGTTTTCAGCCTCACAAGCACTGGGATTACAGGCACACATCACCACTCCTAGTCTCAATAACAGCTCAGCGCACCCTGCACCCTGCACCCTGGGGGCGGGGTGGGGCTGGCAAGGGCACACAGGGATGGAACCCTGGTTCCCGCATCTGCCTAAGCAGGCACTGTAGTGTGCTAAACTATCTGGCTGGCCCAAAAGAATGAATTTTAAGGAACTGAGGTTAAGAGTAGGAAAAATTTATCGAGGGAGCTCCTGAGACATGAGGGGACCCAAATGTGGACTGCCACAGATCCCACTTGTTTTATAAAGCAAAATAACATGGTCGGTATAAAATCATGAGGTGGGTACAACATGAGTCAAAACTATGATCAATCAACAAGATTACAAATATACAGCCACTTAGGTAATACTGATCCAATGAGGAAGCAGGTCGCACAGCCTGTGCACATGGAAAGAATAAAGACTTTTTAAGGAAGGGTCGATCAGGATGGTCACCCACCTGGCTGACTGATGTCTACCTAGACTTTATTGGACAAGGTGATATCAATTATACTATACTTCAAAAAAAATTATTGCTTATCTCTTAGGGAGGCCTGTAGGCCTAGTCATTCTATCTTTGAGGCTCAGCCTTTGACAGATGCAACTCCAGCCACAATTGCAATCTTCTGCAGTGATTCCCTCAAGGGGCCCAGCCCCATCCGACTGCCTATAATATTCTTACCTACCTTAGCTGTCTATAACATTAGAACACATTTTTTTTTTTTTTTTTTTTTTTTTTTTTGGCGGAACCGGGGATTGAACTCAGGCCCTTGCACTTCTGGCAAGCGCATATTCCACTGCGCCATCTCCCCAGCCCCAAGAACACATTGTGAGCACCAGAAAAGGGTTATTCTGTTATTTTTATGATGCTGATAATCAAACCCATTGTCCAGACCTCAGGAATGCTAGATAAGCACTTTATAAAGTTACTGGGTGAGATTCTCCCAAACCAGTGGACTTAGGCCCCAGTCTACTTTTCAACTAGCTCAATGATTAAAAATCTATGCTCAGAGTTAATTATAAAAATGCAAAATATGGGGCCAGGGTGATGGCTCAGTGGAATAAGCTCTTCCCTGGCAAGCACAAGGGCCTGAGTTCAATCCCTGGTTCTGCAAAAAAAAAAAGCAAAATACAGCATCTCATTAAGAAAGTATAGTTGCAGGGAGGCTTCCACCTGAGTAGGAATAGTACAGATGACCAAATAAAATCAAGTAACCCTTACTACACAACTTCCTAGTACAGGTGGAGTTAAATGTATTTCTAAGGACAATTATACTGTACCAGAAAAAGTTTGCTCTAACTTAACCAGCTTTCTATTTACCCACAATAACATCTGTGATCCCAATTTTTCTAATATAGATAACTCAGAAAACTCTCTTGATGGTTAAATAACAAATTAAAGCACTCTGTGCATTGAAAAAACATTACATAAAACTAGTATCTTGGAGCTAGGCATGATACTACATACCTGTAATTTCAGCAATCTGAGTGGCTGAGGCAGAAGAACCTCAAATTCAAGCCCAGCCTGAGCAATTTAGGAAAACCCTGGCTCAATACGATAAAAGGGCCAGGGATGTAGCACTGTACTAAGGCCTTGGATTCAATGCCCTCCTGTTACTGGCCACTGATGTCCATTTCCTGGTTACTGACCCCATCAAAGGATGCCATTCATTTTAGTAAAAAGGAAATGACTCATTCAAGCCTAACTCTAAGATGAAGGGGCCTATTTGCCTCAAATCACCATCTCACTTTACACAGAATTAGGGTCTTACAGTAAGGAAGAGTGAGGACACACAGTTAATAACACACTTCACACCTGTTTTACCACTTCCAGCCTACTTCAGTTCTTTCCTTGTGGAAACTGGATCCAGCTTCTTGGGGAAGTTGAGGAAAGGAGGGCTGTAAGAGCTGGGCATGGTGGGGCAGGACTAATCCCAGCACTTGAGAAAGGATCACTCCAAATTCCAGACCAGCCCAGATTACAAAGTGAGCTCAAGGACAGCCTGAACTACACAACGAGATCTCATCTCAAAAAAACTCTAACATTCCATATCCTGGTGGTGTTCTACTACAGTAAAAAAAATTCCTCTTGGGAGTAAGGGGGAAGTACCTGTATATAACTCCACAGATTCCAAGTCAGCACAGTACCCAGAAGGCAAAAATGAAACATTCTTTCATACATTAGAATCTGGTTTTAGGCTTTATTTCCTCTGACAAGGTCAAGGTGTCCTCGGTCTTCTGATCGCTTTCCTCACAGGGTCTGGACACCCTCCAAATCCAGCCCTGCTGCTAAAAGTTCTTGTTACGCTAGCTTCTAAAAAATCTGTCTGTTTTTATCTATTAAATAGACGAAGGCGTCCGTCTGAAAAGGCACTGGGGACGTAAGCCAGGTACTGAGAAACGACAAGGCCCCCGTGCCTGCCTCGCACACAGCGCACTGGCTCAGTCGCTCGGTTTTCAACAAAGACTGCACGCTCTGTCGTTTATTTTTTACAGAAGTCAAGACAGGAAAAGCATTATTACCTCATGTTACAGGAAAAAAAAAAAAAAAGGTCAGGATATGTACGTGAAGGACACAGGGATACCGGAACCTAGATCGCCTCACCTTCAAAACAGAAAGGGGAAAAAACGCCAGGCCGCTACTCCCGTTCACGACCACAAACGTGAGGGGGGTGGGGGGCAAACATGGTCGCCGCGGAGAGGGCGCGGCGGGCCGGCTCTGTACGGACTCGACCTTGGGCTTTTCCCGCAGAGTTCACAGCAGAGGCGTCGCCGGAACCCTGAGAGACCGGGCTCTTCAACCTCCGCACCCACGCAGGGCACAGGGGAACCCCGCGGTGGCCTTAAGTGACCCTACCAATGCCGCGGCTGGCACCGCCCACCCACCGGACCCGAGCCGGTCGCAGCCCCAAGCCACGCTAGATACAAAAACGGAGCCCGGCGGGGACCCGAGGACCACCATGCGCGTCGCGGTGGGGGCTGGGGAAGGGGAAATGAGGACTCCGAGTGGGGGAGGGGAGGCTCAACCTTTGCAGCCATTTTGTCCTCGCTCCACTTCCGTCTTCTCTTTCCGGGCACCAAGGGCCCAGACCCCTCCCTTCAAGACGTGCTTACCCAGCCTCGGTTCTGTACTAGCCAAGATCTTAGGTAGCGGAACTTCCATTGGTGGTTTCATAGCGTGCCCGCCCTTCTGTCACCGCCTTCTTCCGTCCCCATCCGCTGGCGTCCTCTGGGGCGCATGCGCAGAAGCTGACGTTTCCCCCTCCCCCACCGGAGGGCTGAGAACTCCCGCGCGCGCGCCTCTCTCGGCCCCACCCTCCCTTTCCCCGGGCAGTTCCGAGAGCTGGGGGGGCGGGGGGAGGCGAGGGGAGCCTGAAAGTTCCAGAACGCTGCGGTGGTGCGTCATCGCGAGAGTGGGCGTGATGAGGGCGGGATGGGGCGAGGCCCGAGGAGTCGATAACGGTTTCTCATTGGGGCTTTAGGAAGCAGCGTGGCGCTCATTGGTCGAGGTGCCAAGACAGGCAGCTGGTGGGGTGGGACCCTTCTGGAAGGTTCTGAGACAGGGTATAAGAGAGGGGGCGCCGGGTGAAAACCGGTCTCATTGAACGCGCCGGTAGGTGAGGGGCTCCTTGTGTGCCGTCTTCGCTAGCACAGCCAGGCCTTTACGCGAGGTAAACTTTCGCATTTTACGTATGGCAGATATTTGGGAAGTAGAGAACCTGGGTCAGAACTGATGCTTTGTCGCAGTGTGGGCTTTGGAGGGAGCGCGCGGTGTCGGTGTGTGTTGGGGGGTACTCTGCGGCGGGTCTTGAGCCAGCTTTGGCTTTTAGTTAAAAGTCTTCCCCAGTGAGCGATAGAATATCTCTGGCGCCGTCCACCGTAGAGCCGAGTTGGGGTGCGCGGGCGTGGGTGGACGCGTGAACAGGGCGGCGCCCCGACCCCAGCTTCCTGACCGCGTGGCTGAAGCAGAGCGTATCGCATCCGCTGAGGCGTGTGAGAAAGTTGGCTCCGCGCGTTACCTGAGCGTCAAGAGAAACCTTCCTTGGCGTGCACCCCGCAGCGGCTTTGGGAGAGTTAAAGAAAGGAGACATGGCCGCGCATGATCCCGGGTTCTAGAAGAGGGCTGGGGGCTCCCAGGGCGGCCACGTGCTCGGCTACGTCGGGCGCTAGAGTTGGCACAGCAACCTAGACTGCAGCGCTGCCTCCCCACCCTCTGCAGTTTACACAGATGAGACTTAGGCCCATGGGTAATCGCCCTATTTCATTTGGACTGTTAGGCTAAAAAAAAAACAAAACCCTATTAAAGCCACTGCCTTTTTCTTTACAGCAACCATGTCGAAAGGACCTGCAGTTGGCATTGATCTTGGCACCACCTACTCCTGTGTGGGTGTCTTCCAGCACGGAAAGGTGGAGATAATTGCTAATGATCAGGGAAATCGAACCACGCCAAGCTATGTAGCTTTCACTGACACGGAGCGACTGATTGGAGATGCCGCAAAAAATCAAGTGGCTATGAACCCCACCAACACAGTTTTTGGTAAGTGCCTAGTTGAAAGGGAAAATTTGGGAAGCTGAGGAAAGGGAAATGGTGAGGAAGCTGAAATTTATTAAGTGGCAAGGGCCGGATGTTAAAACGAGGAAGGTTTTTTTTTTTTTTTCTTGAGCCAGGCATGGCGGCACAGGCCTGTAATCTCAGCATTTAGAGTAGGAGGATCATTCATTTCCAAGTTCGAGGCCAGCCTGAACTTTCCAAAGATAAGACAGATTTGTGGCTTTTTAGTTGGTCTATAGAAACTTACTGTGTTAATAACCTTTTTTGTGTCTAGTAGTTAAAGAAAAGCACCTATGACAATGGGTTTGTTAATTGAGCATGAGGTACTTTTTGCATACTAGGGGACATGCTCTTGTACATTCTGACCCAGAATTCTACCGCTGATATATGTGCCCTTCTCTGGGCTTTATCTGAAGTGTTCACTGCCTAATAATACATTGTACTTGGTGTCTTACAGATGCTAAACGTCTGATTGGACGTAGATTTGATGATGCTGTTGTTCAGTCTGATATGAAGCACTGGCCCTTCATGGTGGTGAATGATGCAGGCAGGCCCAAGGTTCAAGTAGAATACAAAGGAGAGACAAAAAGCTTTTACCCAGAGGAGGTGTCTTCTATGGTGCTGACAAAGATGAAGGAGATTGCAGAAGCTTATCTAGGCAAGGTGAGCTTATGTACATTGATAGTACTATATGCCTGTGTTTTGCGAGGTCAGGAAAAGAATTTCATTTTTTAAAGGTTGTATAAAATCCATTTAGTACTGAAGTTTATATGAATGTACTTGGCAGTATTAAGGATTGTTATTCACAATGGATTTTTCTTTTTAGACTGTTACCAATGCTGTGGTTACTGTGCCAGCTTACTTCAATGACTCTCAGCATCAGGCAACCAAAGATGCTGGAACTATTGCTGGTCTTAACGTACTTAGAATTATCAACGAACCAACTGCTGCTGCTATTGCTTATGGCTTAGACAAAAAGGTATGTACTTTGTACAAAGAAAGCACATGAATAATTTTGAGTTAACAGAATTGTAATAGTGTGTTTTTATGGCAGGTTGGAGCTGAAAGAAATGTGCTGATTTTTGACTTAGGAGGTGGCACTTTTGATGTGTCAATCCTCACTATTGAAGACGGAATCTTTGAAGTGAAATCTACAGCTGGAGACACCCACTTAGGTGGAGAAGATTTTGACAATCGAATGGTCAATCATTTCATTGCTGAGTTCAAGCGCAAGCACAAGAAGGATATCAGTGAGAACAAAAGAGCTGTCCGCCGTTTGCGTACTGCATGTGAGCGAGCTAAGAGAACCCTTTCTTCCAGCACCCAAGCCAGTATTGAGATTGATTCCCTCTATGAAGGAATTGATTTCTACACCTCCATTACTCATGCTCAGTTTGAAGAATTGAATGCTGACCTGTTCCGTGGCACTCTGGACCCTGTGGAGAAGGCTCTTCGAGATGCTAAACTGGACAAGTCTCAGATCCATGATATTGTCCTAGTGGGTGGTTCTACCCGTATCCCCAAGATCCAGAAGCTTTTGCAAGATTTCTTCAATGGAAAAGAATTGAATAAGAGCATCAATCCTGATGAGGCTGTTGCTTATGGTGCAGGTAACAATATTACTGTTAGCAGTAAGACTGTGGGCAATCTTATAGGCCAGTTTGGTTCACTGTGATGATGGATTCCAAAACCATTCGTAGTTTCCACCAGAAATTTTGTGTTGGCTAGTTCCTTCCTTGGATGTCTGAGTGAACCAGAAGTTTAGTGAGGTGACTGGGGGATTGCATTCTGCATGTATCTAAATGTTACTTTTTGTTGTAGCTGTTCAGGCAGCCATTTTATCTGGAGACAAGTCTGAAAACGTCCAAGATTTGCTCCTGTTGGATGTTACTCCTCTTTCTCTTGGTATTGAAACTGCTGGTGGAGTCATGACAGCCCTCATCAAGCACAATACCACCATTCCTACCAAGCAGACCCAGACCTTCACTACCTACTCAGACAACCAGCCTGGCGTGCTCATTCAGGTATTTTTACACTTTTGGCTTGGATTACAGGGGTCAAGATCAGGAGAGGACTGCCCGCTGTGATGATGGAATCCAAAACCATTCGTAGTTTCCACCAGAAGTTTCGTGTTGGCCAGTTCCTTCCTTGGATGTCTGAGCGATCAGTCTTTCCTAGCTGAACTGCACATTAAAGTGTTAAGAAAAAAATTACTAACATGTACTTATTTTCACAAAGGTATATGAAGGTGAGCGAGCCATGACCAAGGATAACAACCTGCTTGGCAAGTTTGAACTCACAGGCATACCTCCCGCACCCCGTGGTGTTCCTCAGATTGAAGTAACTTTTGATATTGATGCCAATGGCATCCTCAATGTTTCTGCAGTCGATAAAAGTACAGGAAAAGAGAACAAGATTACCATCACTAATGATAAGGGTAAGTGAGACTTTGGAAGTGCTGTATGTTGGAATTAGTATAAGCATATCCATTTAGTTCTCACCACAGACCTAGCTGTTGGTCTGTAGGGTCATAGGCACAAACTAGTCTTAACTAGATGTTTTAACTCAGAAACTCAAAAGGTTTTATTTAATTTTTAGGCCGTTTGAGCAAGGAGGACATAGAACGTATGGTCCAGGAAGCAGAGAAGTACAAGGCTGAAGATGAGAAGCAAAGGGACAAAGTGTCCTCCAAGAACTCATTGGAGTCCTATGCTTTCAATATGAAAGCAACAGTTGAAGATGAGAAGCTTCAAGGCAAGATTAATGATGAAGATAAACAAAAGATTCTTGACAAGTGCAATGAGATCATCAACTGGCTGGATAAGAATCAGGTTGGTTTTTCTTGGCTGGGAACTTATCAGTAGACACAACTGGGCTTAATATGAAGGTCACTATGATGAAAGGTCCAAACATTCGCAGTTTCCACCAGAATATTAAGACATGTTGGTAGTTTATACCTTCCTTGGATGTCTGAGTGACTTTGGGATTTTTGTTTAAAAAGGCCTTGTTTAATAGGGTAGTGGGCTTTCTTCATGAATAGTATATGAAAAATGTGAGGTTATGCTCAATCCTGTAAGTCACAGGCACTATATTTAATTTGGTATAAAAACTTTTGTTTTCAGACTGCGGAGAAAGAAGAATTTGAACATCAGCAGAAGGAGCTGGAGAAAGTCTGCAATCCCATCATCACCAAGCTCTACCAGAGTGCAGGTGGCATGCCTGGAGGAATGCCTGGGGGCTTCCCTGGTGGAGGAGCTCCTCCCTCTGGTGGTGCTTCCTCGGGACCCACCATTGAAGAGGTTGATTAAGCCAACTTTAAATAAAAATATAGCATTCTTCCACAACCAATAAAATTGAAGGACCTAAATTTGTAGCAAATTCTGTAGCAGTTAAAGTTGAACTGCTATAGTAAAGTACTGGGCATTCTCAATACTTGAATAATGGAACATGTACACAGGGAAACATAGCATTGCACTTTAAGCACTGTACTATAAGTGAAAATGCAATGTCTTCAATAAATATTTAAATTGGCACCATGTAGTTTGTCTCAGTGACTTGTTTGGTCAGCCTATTCTGTGTAAAACAATGACCAACACTTACCTAGGTACCTGTTCCGTGAGAGCTATGACTGATACGGTTGAAGGGCAGGTGACTTGTCCATTGTTCTGAGGAGTGTTAAAGTTAACATTTGGTTCTTTTCAGTTCACAAAACTGTTGGAAGCCAGTTGTGAATGAGCTACAGATGCAGACATTGGTTCTATATACTTGTACAAATCAGCTGGGTAATGGGTTCATTTTCAGATATACTAAACTGCCACCTAGTGGTCAGGGTGTCACACGAGCAGCGTGATCACAGGCTGTACATAGGAAAAAGTTAACAGTTCCTATTGGATAGCACAGTGCTTAAAGCAGCTTGATCTTAGTGTTGACATTCAGCTAGTTTCCTCTGCATATGCAGTGGAAACAAAGCATTACTACTTAGGTTTGGGAAGTGAGGTCTCTCCAAGAGTTTTGAGAGTAATGGCTTAGTTCTAGGAAAGCCTGGGCAAGTTCTATATTTGACATAGTATTAGTTTTCAGCATTTGCCCTACATGTAGCTTGTTAGTATAGAGGAAGTGGGTTCTAGAGAATTAGGCTTTGTATGGGTAAGTAGCTGAGGACAGGTAAACCCTGGTGCATGAGTAGTGGGCTAGGGTGTAACAGGTATATTGAAGGAAAGGGAAGATGCACTGAGGTAGTTGGAGGGCAGTATTCTATATTGGGATTTTGTGAACTGAGCTAGGCCTACCTCCAAGCTGGCTAAATGGGCAGCCCCACCCAGCCACTGCAGGATATTGGAGAAAGATGAAAATACAGGGGCAGTAACCATTTACCATCAGATTGAATTGGCATGTCATTTTCCTTGATTCTCTGAAAATTAGAAACAAACAGGGTGATGAGTATGGTTGCAGAGATTGAAGCACCTCTTACACAATACCGCTACGCAGATGTAGAGCTGTAAAGATCATTGGCTTCCCAATGTCTAGTTTGCAATAGGCACGTTGTGCGGAGCCTTTTTCAGTTGCAGCTCTTAAGTCCCCCTACACATGCATGTACAGTTGATTGGATCTGGAACCTTTGCCCGGAGTTGTCTCCAACCCTGTTTTGAGAGGTGGTCTCACTGGACTTGTTCTGCCTTTGCTTCCCAGAATGCGTTTACAGGTGACCAGTGTGTGCTTTCAGGCACAGCTCGAAGAGATTTTTCCCTTAATTGGCAGTTCGCATACTTCAGCATACCAGGTGTGGCGTGAGCATAGGTGAAGCTAGAGTTCAGATCAGCCTGAACTACATAGGGAGATCTGTCTCAGTAGGTGCACATAGTTCTTTGTTCAAACAATAGAGTACCTGTGGTGGTCTAGGCCTTAGGCTTTCGATAGGAAAGGCACCTTTCACATTCTGAAGGTTCAGCGAATGGAACTCCGTATTGGGGAGAAGTAGAGAACATTGATGTTTGCTGTTGTAAGGATGTCTTTGTCCACTAGATGGCAGTAGCTAATTATAGACCAGCCACAGGGTGCTTGGATGCAGGGATGGGTTTTGTCAGGTGTTTTTGTATCACAAAGAGACAGCACAACAAATGAGAACAGCCGCACTGCAACTGCAAGTTCCTGTATTTGTGTTCCTGCAGGTCAGCCCCTGTTGGTGCTAGTGAGTACAGGGGCAAAGAGCACAAAAGTGCAGTGGGCAGCCGTGGCAAGAGCCTTTGCTGACACCACTCTGTTACATTCCATGTTACTTCCCTCGCCCCTGATCTGCAGTGCAAGGTGTTGAACCCAGGGCCTTGTGCACACCGTGCGAGTGCTGTACCACCGAGCTCATGAGACTTGATGTGTGTAACTGTTTCATTAAGAAGACCCTGTGCTGTGCACGTTGCTCATTCAATATTTTTAGTTTGTTCAAAGGATTTACTCAGGCCCAAGCAAAATCTCATCCCCATTATTAGCTCTGTGTGTCTCCTGCCTCTTGAGCTTATATCATCAATCTATGTTCTGTCCCAAAAGATAGTCCATTCTGGGCATTTTATATGCATAAAATGGACAAATAGGTGATCATCCCTTCACCTCTGCTGCATTACCTCAGGAAAAAAAAAAAAAATAGGTGATCATTTGTGATTGGCTGCTTTCAGTGTTGTAACATGTCAACTTTTTTTTATTCATGGCAATGGGGTTAGACCAACATCTTTGCCTTTACCTTCATCCCCACATTCGTTTGCTTTTGAGAAAGGGTCTAAGATGCCCAGGCAGGGTTGGAACTTGAATGTCCTCTCGGCCTTTTGCTTTGTTTTGCTTTGCTTTGCTTTTTTTAAATGTACTTGGTTGTTAACAGAGTTTCACCACACAGCTCGGACTCATGCTGTCCTGCTTTCAGCCTCCTTAGTGCTGGGATTACAGGCGTGCACCACCACTCCTGGACTCTGGCAGGCTCAGCCACCCTGGGAGCAGGCCTGGTGCAGCATGTGGTGCTGGGGAAGAGCCTCAGTCCCTGTGCTTTGCGTAAGCTTGCCTGAGCAGGCACTTTAGTTTGCTGAGCTATCTCGCCAGCCCCACTCTCAGCCTTTTTCGAGTGCTGGGATTACAGGCATGATCTGCCATGTCAAGTAGATAGAGGTTCCATGCTCAGGTTGCTTATGGATTTGGTGGGGTTTTTGTTTTTTAAAAAAATCTATTTGTTTAGTTACGTATTTATTTAGTTGGTACGTGGTTTTGCTACACAGCTCAGACTCAGTGATTCTCCAGTCTCAGCCTCCCCAGTGCTAGGATTGCGGGCGTATACTATCATGCCTAGTTTCAGTGGCCAGCTCAGTGCAGGGCCAGTGTGGCGTGTGGTATTGGGGGTCAAACCTGGGTCCTTGCACTGGCGCTTAGACCGCCGAGCTATCTCCTCAGCCCAGGTTTTGGTGTTTTTTGAGACAGTCATTATGTGATCCAAGCTGGCCTTGGACTCACAAGCCTCCTGCCTCAGCCTCCCAGATGGGTGTACACCACCATGCCCAGCTCACACGAGACTGGGCTAAAAAGAAAGCAGGTTGCAAGCAAGTACCACTTGAAAAGACCTTGGAAATGCTCAGCAGAACTTTATTCTGTTTGTTGACTTAGTGTTTCTCATGTTTTCTTTTTAATGAATTTTGGGACAGGGTCTACAGAGTGTACAGGGTCTCACTACATAGATTGGACTGGTAGTGATTCTCCTGTTCTCATTCTCCTACGAGCTGGGACTACAGGTGGGTGCCACTACACCCAGTCTCAGTTGTGGCTTAGCATGCCCCTGGGGTGGACCAGCACGGCATGCCAGGGATCGAACTCTGGCCACTGGGCTCTGCCTAAACAGGCGCTTCAGTCTGCTGAACTATCTGGCCAGCCCTGTTTCTCATGTTTCTATCCAGAGAGACCAGCTCTGTCCAAGTGCATCATTTTAAGCAGATTGTTTCTGAAGCTGTCTACCTGTGAAATGGAGTTAGAATACCTGACCATTCTGTTTGTTATGAGGATGGTAAGCATTTAACTCTGTGCCTACGTTCCCTAATGGTACCATAACAAAGGAATCAAAACTATGCCTCAACAGTTTTGGAGCTGAAGTCTAAGGCAAGCTGTGGGCAACTCTGGGCTCTCTCTGAAGGCTTTAGGGAAGGAACTACCCCTGCCCCACCTTGGCAGCCTCGTTATTGTCACCTGGTTATCTTCCTGTGTGAGTTCAAATTCTCACTGCCTGGGTCCTTTCTCCCAAATGGGCCATTTTATAATGACATGCATCCTAATGCCTTCATTGTAACCTGAGTACCCCTGTAAAAACCCTACATTTAAATAAGGAAGGTCACATCCTGAGGCTCTGGGGGTTAGGAATCCCCTCCCCACTCTTGCCAGGAAATAGAAAGCAAACTGCAGTCCACATACTCCATCTTCAGTGGGCCTAACAAAAAGGCCTTTTAATTGCAGCCTTCCCCTGAAGCTGCTGCCGCAGCAGGCCACCAGCTGTACGTTTCATTTCTCTCCATCCTTCACCCCTCCATTGTCTCTCTAGTTTCCCAAAACAATGTCTAATTCTCTTATTTCCAATGGTTTCCCTGTGGATAGCAGTTTATTTGTCATCAAGTCTCTGATGAAATCTTTAACCATGAAATGTTTAGGCCAATCTGAACAAATAGTGTGTAGCGTTGACATGTCACAGGCTGCCTGTGGCCAGCATTATGTGGTAATTTGGAAGTGAGAGAAGTGATAATATAGGGCCGGGCTTCCTTTGTGAGCTCGCATTAATGCTGAGGCTGCTGCTGTCAATTGACAGCCCATCGATTTGGGCTAATAGTGCATGGAGGGGGCAGAATTGGGGCAAGGTGGGAAATAAAGGTTATTGATGTCTAGTCACCAGGATTCCGGCAGCTTTTAATCTATTATTGCCCTCTTTTAATGCAACTTCTGTGTCAACTGCATTTGCTTCCACCAGCTCTACCTGCTGGGCTGAACTGTGAGGCCAGTGGGATTCCATCCCCAGAGTGGCTCAGAGTTCCCCAGTATTGATTCTTTGATGCTCTGGGGTGTGAATTATAATTATTTCATTAAGCTCTTTAATGGGTATCAACCATGAACCTTCCCTGGTCTGGGCTGGGGAGGCCAGGGCGAGGTCCACATCATTAATCTGTGTTCATCTCGTTGCCACCAATTGTCCTACTCTCGACCCTTATTTTTTTTTCTCCTATTATCGCGTCTAAGGTTTTAGTGGGAAGCAGGTCGATCTACTCCCAGAGAGGAACTAGGAAGAGGACTTGGCTGATTTGGGGAGACTGGAGGGGAGGTCATGGCTGAGCAGATTGCAGAGTTGGCTGTTCACACGACGGGACTAGCTAATCACTCCATCAGACCAGCTTGGCTCAGCTCCCATTTGCCTGTGCAGGGAGGTGATGCAGGAGACATCGGGACAATGCGAGATACTTTGCAGCTGCTTATATTGCTCTGAATCCTATTGTGGCTCAGGAATAGTCCACCCCCTTGCTTAAGTTCTTTGT